GTGTCCGAGGTTTCCACAATGATGACATTTAATGCCATATGTTTTCGATCTCTTGCGATCTGGTTCCATTGGGATATTTGGCTGTAGACCTCCATTTGACCTTCCATAAGCATAGGCCTTCAGATGCTGTTGCATCTCGTCTTGACTTTTAATATTAGTCGTATATAACATACGTTGCAGACTTTTGTCGATTTTCGATGTATGTGCCAAAACAACTGAGACTGCAATTTCCTCCATGTTCGCTGTCTTCCATTTGGATAAAAGTGAGGTCACAAGACGGCTCGCATATACGGAGAGGCATTCGCCATCATTCGGTCGGCCATTAAAAATGTTCATTAAAGTTGCCGCCGATGTTTCCATTCCCACGAAACGTTGCAAAAACAATTCCTTAAAATTTTGCCAGTTCATTCCAGTATAGCATATTTGAGAAAGCCAGGGCGAGGCGCTTCCTTCTAGGGAGCCGCTGAGGGTCATCACCAGTGTACTGTCCTCAATAGGATTATCGTCAAGTATTATGTCCACAGTTTTGCACCAGGCATTTGCATCTGCGCCTGCAATGTCCGGGTTGAACTTTGGCAACGAGATGCTCTTCTTTGTTGAGGATGCTGAATTTGACATCTGCATTGCTTTAATAATCTCAAGAATATTTCGATTTTGAGATTCCAAAAGCTGACGCCACGAATCGTCAGAATTGCCTCGTGGAGGGGCATCGCCTAATCCCACTTCTGATGTCGGAACAGAGAAATCACTTTCTTTGCAATTAGGCATACTGGCAGTACAGCAAGTCCCGAGTGTCGTTATAGTCACAAAATAATTATATTTTTAGGAGCGAGCACGTCTGTTCTCTATGACTTCCACTTTTAGAATGAATAATTTTCATCGTCCTCGAGCATACTACTCATGCTCTTGTCATTCTATATTCTTCTCTGACTTTTAGTACTGTTAGTGAACATTCAACACTATAGCAAACTGGACGTTATACAACACACTCGGGCCATGCTCGGCAGAGACTATCTTTTTTGTCTCACACCATGCTTTCAGTAGCAACCCTAATACAAGTAGGACAGTTATGTTAAATAGCAGTACCTTCTGTCAAATTCTCTGATTCTTACTAACACTTAATCGTTAGCATTCAAAATAATACTCACAATAATTTATTGGATACACGACATATATATATGTACATACACACATGTGTGTGCTTATTTCAAGAATACAATGGACGGCGGCAGTGGCAGCAAAGTTGGGGCGAAATAATTGAGAATAACTCTAAGAGAAACGTTTAAAACATTGAATTAAGTCATTAAATATATATGTATATATGTGTGTGTAGTCATAATGATTATTATCATACCCTGTAAGCTGGTTAAAAAAAGGGTATAAGAAGTTTGTGCAATGTATGTACATATATATTTCAATGTCCTTATTCCTGAGTTTAGCTCTATACTCCCACAAGGGGACCTACCGTAAAGTGGAGAAACCTGGACCCACACAGATCCTCTACAAGACAATATCGCTTTGATTCAACTCCAGTTTCTTTCAAAGTAGAGGTATTCTGAGAGGCTGACAATCAGAAAAATGCTTGTGTGACACCATGGGGTATATATGTCTACATTTTCCTGATCAAGCTAAGTCGATCAAGCTATGTCCGTCTGTTCATCTTTTTGGGAATGCGTTGATTTCGGAACATTCTATTTACATATATGTATATTCTCAGTGGCGAACTAATATACTCAGTTTCCTTTTTGTCAACCGGGTATATACATATGTAGCTGGTTTGACCAGGGCCAGGGCTGCCGGGCTGCCAGGGCTGGGTATTTGATGAACAGCTCTCGCTTGCGGCCGAGACAATGTGCAAAACATAGCCGCAATTAAACGCCGACAAATGCTGTGCGAGTTACTTAAAAAGCTATCACATTTTTGTGTTCATGTTTTTTGTTTATTTTATTTTTTTTTCGCTTGACCATTTGGCAATTTGGCAAATACTTTTAACAACACTTTATGACTAAACGCAAATGTGGAAATGAATTAAAAGTTGGGCACGTACAACAACAAGCTGAATATTGCAAATTAAAAGCAAAGTCTAGAGACTTTGAACATATGACACCGAAATGTTAAAGCAATTAAATTTAATGATCCAAATGAAAAATGCAGGCAAAATAAACGTAAATTGATTTTTGGAAAATTATAAACAAAACGCAAACTGCCCAAAAGCTTGCCAATTGAGAGCCACAAAAACCGACGCACCGCCAACTGCACCGCTGCCAAATTTTTAAATGCTGAACTCTCGATCCGCACACACGCGAATAAACAAATAAAAATGAATATAATGAAAGAGTATCAACAACAAAAGCAACAACAATAACAACAACAGTACTGAGAACAACAATTGGATAAGCTTCCGGAATTAAAGATTCAGCAACAACACAAATTCAAATCCGTTTTTGGCAGCTGTCTACAAACTTTGTAGGTTCAAGGCGAGAACTCGATTTTCAAAATTCATCCGAAACGACGAGAAAGCTGGTCAGCTGGTCAGCTGGTCAACTGGTCAAGTGGTCAACTGGTCAAGTAGTCAACTGGTGGCGGGTGACGTCTGTGACGCCCTCTGTTGCGGATGCGAAAGCATTTGGCCACTAGGGTTCATGGTATGGCAAACGCCCAATTAGCTTTTGGGCAGTGAAAAAGGCGACATCCAACGATTCGCAGCGCGGGGCCGACAAACTCGCCATTGCCGGCATGCACAGTGGTGCCGCAATCATGTCGATCAAATGAAATTCCTGACAGAACACCCGAAAACAACCCGAAACTGTCGCTGTTCATGCTCACATGTTGTATTTGTATTCGTTCTCTGCTTATTCGGGTGACTCTGAGTGTCACATATAAAAAGACAACATTTATCTACATACATTTATCCCGATATACTGGCTGATGGCTGATTAACGCGAAGTCCAAACTGTAAAATCTATGTGACGAATTCCACCCGCAATTGTGGAAAATTGGTGGAAAGTAAATGTACGCAACGTGTTTATTAACAAGCCAATCAGCTAGTCGTTCAAACTAATTTTTAAAGATATTTGTGAAAATTCATTCGATTCGCGTTTCCCACGTTTCTAAAAATTCACCCACCTTGGTGAAAATGGGGATTCAAGGTTGTATGAGCAACAGCTCAAATTGCGTTCGAATGTCTACATCAAATGAATATGTGTTTTACCGATTTTCAAATGCCCAACAACTTTTGCCTGTCCATTCGATAAAGCTTGCGAATGTTTGTAAGGGTGTCTTAGACGTGATAAGACGACATAGGTGAATTCATTCCACTCAGTGAAATGCGCGTTCAGTGTAGAAGGGGAAGGCTTAATTGAAAAGAATCGGACTAAGTCGGACAACGAGAGTATAAATAAAACAATTTTTATAAATTAATATATAAATATAATACATTAAAATAAGCCATTGTTTTGTTTCAGCTAAAGAAAGGTACATATTTAACAAGCCATTTTTTCGGTATATTAAAAAGAAGTAAGACACCCGATATTTGTACTAAAGGGTATGCCACAGTCGAGCATTGAAAATTGGCATACTTTAAACTTGCTGGCTGTCACTGTCTGCTGTCTTGTTTGACAAATTATGAACACGTTTTTGTATTTAAATAATGATTTCGCGTATTTGTTGATCTTTCGGTTTTCGGTGCGTCGAACTGCCCCTCGGAGCTGTTGATAAGATCGATTGACGATGTCGCCCCGATGACGACACACAAAGATAGACCTTCGATTTTTCGCTCTGTCACTGTCGCTGTCGCTGTGGCTCTCTCGCTGCCCAGCCAGGGGGCGGGGCGGAGTAACGTTGCCATTGAATTGCATTTGAAAAGTCAATTTCAGTTGCGAACGTTCAACATTATGTTGGGGCCAAATTAAGATGCGGCTATGCGATTAAGTAGGCTCTGCCAAAAGTCTGTGGTCAGTGCTCAGCTCTGGCTCAGGTCTGGCTGTGGCACACATCGATGCCAAAGTGCAATGACCCATGCTGAGAGTTGAAAAGTCGAAAGGCAAACAAATTGAGTTGATGCCCACAGATTATACAACAAGCAATTCGCATTCGAATTGGAAACGAAATTAAAATTGGGCTTTGACATTGTCAATTGGCCAATGGACAATGAGCTTGTGGCCACACAGAGCGCTGATCGGTGAACGCTGATCAGAGATCTTAACACTTAACACTTGCCGCTGACGGAGTCGACCGAGTGGTCAACAGGTTGATTGACCAGCAGCAGCAGCAGCAGCAACAGCAGCAGATACTTTGTATCTGTATCTTTTGCTTATGAATCGCCAGCAATTTTGTGATAATGCAAAAGTGAAAGGCAATTGTTGATTTGCTGATTTGTCGATTGAATGCTTTGACCAGTGACTGTTTTTGTTGTTTCTCGAATTGGTTTTGGGGCTGTGACCCACTCCGGTCGAGCTAGGTCACAAGCGCTTATTGGAACCTGTTGAGTCAGCCAGCCAATCCTATATATTTGGGGTTTTTACACCATAGCTGAGGGTCTCTCATTTCTGTGCAATAATTATAATCAAAAGACAAAAATAAAGCGGACAATAGATGAGCCAAGCAAAAGATAGCCAGCCTGTCAGTCACTCAGTCAGTCAGTTAGACAGAGGCAGGCCTTTCAGGGCTATGTCGCCTTTGCTGCATCCCTAGAGATGAGGATGACTCAGTCGTGAGATGTTTGTGAGATAATTTTAGCTTGCCATGTTCTGCCGAGCAATAAATGCCATCACATGCACACACACACACGCACAGCAAATGCTTAGCAGCCGGTACAGTGAGTCATGGCGAATGGCAAACAGCGAAATGCGATGCAACTCAGTTAGTTTTGGCAGCAACAGATAGAGACAGCGACGGAGACATATGCTTATACCGCATACAGAGAACCAGATACAGTTCTTGCTGTTGTTTTTGTTGTTGTTCAAGTTGATATACAACATCAAGTTGTCGCACGGCATGACTCACAGATACACAGAAGAGGAGGGCTAAGTATTATTGACCACCCGCCAGAGCTATCCTCTGCTGGCCAAAAACTTCCATAATTGCTTGCCTAATGCTTTATGGCTTATGCTTACCTGCAATGAGAACAAAACAAAACAAAAATAATTAGAACGTTGCAGCTAACAGCGGAATTATATATTAAATTAAATTAGATTAGATTACGCTATGCGATTGCTGACTCTTGAGACTGTAAGCCCAATGTAGTGCACCTTTAACTGTGGCTATTGGAAATATCGATTTAAGAAATTGATAGGAGCGATAAAGGTGGCAGTGGGAATGCATCTGTGCTTGTTCTTGTCTTAGCCAAGTGAATGTGAATGCGAAAATCCGAATGAATGAAATATTTCTAATCTGAGAATATCATATGGAACCTACAAATTAAATTTGGAAGCTCTAGCTCTTAAAATCCTTGAGTTATGCTAAACTTATTTCAATCAATATTTATCGAATTATTAGAAAAGCAAAAATAAAAGATCGTGCTGCTTAAGATACGTAAGAATATATATTTATTATTTAAAATCTTTAGCTTTTTTTATATGTGAAATTGACAGACAAATTGGCTAGGCGTCATTCCTATCAAGATCACATTATGGCGTCAGAGATGCCTGGCACAAAGCTATTTTGGCCTGCTCATTGCGCATTCAAAAGGGTATACAAATACAATTATTCAACAATAGAATATTGAATATTCATATTGTAACGCATTTACAAATAAATCAAAAGAAGACGGGCAGCCAAAATAATTACTTCGAAAAAGGGTCTAATTTATGAGCGCTATTCTTATTGGGGTTATTTTTTCTTGGCTCGGTTGAAAGTAAAAGTAAAAGGTACCATAATTTGCGTGTGGGCATGGCACAGCCCTGCTGCCAAAAGAAGGCGGCTCATTGAAAAGTGAAAAGCGTTCGAGAAAACAATACGAATAGAAATAGAAAATGCGAAGTCTTTTACAAGGCGGCAACAGACTGACTTGAGACGGCGACTAACTAATTGTCAGACAGCGACTAAGTACAAGACTGAAGAGACTCAAGACTTGCAAGTGTACAAAAAGAGGGCAGGGTGGCAGGCTAATAACTTAGTCGAAAGAAAAGTGAAATGAGCAAAATGCTCATAAAAATAGAAATAGAAATGGACATGACAATGACAATGGAAATGGAAATGGAAATAGACATGGAAATGGAAATGTGTATATGGAAAGAGGCAAAACGAAATGAGGCCGTCGCGTAAATTACAAATCAATATGCGATACAATATGCATGGGCCAAACTAGGCCCATTTGGCCGGTCGAAAGCCTCGTGAATCGGCCAACAATTGAAGCTCACCGGCTCACCGGCTCACCGGCTCACCGGGCTGTTGCCTGCCTGGCAGGCAATGAACCTCAGGCGAGGAATGCACTCATAGAACGCGAATGAAAATGAAAATGATGTTGTCGTTGTCGTTGTCGTTGTCATTGTCGTTTTGCTCAAGAGTTTTCTTGGTAAATTGCAGCAGAAGCGCCTAAATCCAAATGCCAGCGACAAAGCGACGACAACAACTTTAATGATGATGTGCCACAAGCAGCAGAACCAGAAGCAAAAGCAAAAACAGTTGGCATAGTAGTGGCAGGAGGCTGGGAATGTGCAACCATTTCATGTGTCAACAGCCACAACTGAACAGCAAATCTCGTGTTGACTATTAGCGCATAATAGTGCCGACTGCGCAATACTCTGTTACCGGCGTAGTTACGAATTGAATCATTCGTCCTTTGTATAATTGGACTGGTGACTCCCCGACTGCCATCACAAGGCAGTAGCTAGTGGCCTAGGTCTGAAACTATTAAAAAGAGATATATATATTCGAATCTGCGCGCCCCCTTTAGTGGACATAATGTTTATATATATACATATATGATTGTATATTCCAAGTGTATATACCCTTGATTACTGAGTGGACAGGGTATAAAAAGAATAATAGTAATGCGCCTCAAAGGTAGACGATGGCTGCAGGAGAAGCTGGCACATGGAGAAGAAGCAGCTGCCCAAGCAGATATATGTATTTGTGTTGCGTGTATCTGCGGCCAGCCAGCCAGCCAAAGATGAGGATGTAGATGATGTCAATGCATCGCCGTCGTCTGGCCGATTCGCTGCCAAATTGGGCTGATCCGTACAATGCCAATGATAAGATGACAGCAGCTGTGAGCTTTGATAAGACGGCCAATTCAAGATTTCAATTGGTTTGCCGAATGCTGTTAAGAGTCAGGCAAAAGGCAACGTGTTGCTTATGCACTCGACATTTTCAATTTTTTGACAAATTACAGACATGAAATTGAAAATATGCATATGCTCTCGTATATGCATTTTGATACTTGGTTTTTTGAGCATAACTGAATAACTATAAATTGATAGATCCACTAAATTTGGTATGAAGATTCTCGTTTAGACTTTAATTATTTCATTTTGTGGATATCTCCCTCAGTTGCCACCAGAAGGAAGCTAGCTAGAGTTTGTAAGCGTAGCTCGATACGGGCTTAGGTTAACTCCTAGTCTGGCACTCCTGACAAAACCACTTTTACTTACTTATGTTTGTTTTGTTGCTTGTTGCTTTATTGTTGTTTTATTGTTTCACTTCGGCTGCAAAATGCAAAAACTTGAGGACTGCTATCGCTCGATGAAACGAACCGCACCGAGCTCCCTCACGCGGCTGACAGCTGTGTTGCTGCCGATATCAGAAGTGTACAGCTGTATATGCCGCTCAATCAAAGCAACAGCAACAGCAACAGCAGCCGCAGCAGCAGCAGCAACAACAACAACTCTGAGCTCAACTGGATCACTTTAAATGGCTGCCTTTTGCAAATGCCACCCAAGTGGCAGCCAGCGAAAACAAAGGCAAACAGCCAATTAATGAGACACTCGCCGTTCACAATGATGCGGATGATGCGAATGTTGATGAGGGGGAGGATGACTGCGACGCTGATGACGAGAATTGGCGGCATCGCGTCAATTGATTGGCATGGATTCAACGCATGAGCAAGCGCCTCGACGATAGGCAAATCTTTTGGCAATGATTGCTGTGCAATTAATGAATATTCACACAGCAAACCAGATTAAATCGTATTGCTCATTTCAATCACATTCGATTGCGTTTTTCCCATTCTTATTCCATATTCCAGTAAAAATGAATGTAGTAACGACATTATTCATACATCAAGCACATGGAAGGGCACTTGTGCGAGCTTAATGAAACAAAGGCCATGTCACGTCTTACGTCTTATGCTTGACATTTTCAAGCACAACATGATGGTAAAAGTGTGTTATTTGTGCCTAAAGCCGGCCAAGAGCTCAGCCTGGAGTCAAAAAATTATATACTATCTGAGAGCTTATCAATGGGTCCACCATGCCAGATTGGAATAACAAATAAAAAAAAATAAACAATAAATAATATTAAATAAAAATAAAAAGTAATGTTTTCATTGAAAAATCAGAATCATAATCAATATGCCAGATTAGCATAGAATATATTCCATACACAAATAAAATTCGTTGGGGTTTTCATTAATTTAATGCGACTTTTGTCTTAATTTTTAAGTTGAAAAATTATACTATTGGACGCCTTCTCAACTGGTCCACTGGCCAAATTATAGTAAAATTTATTCAATAAAAACTAGAATAAAATATTTCCATTAGCTTAAAGCTTTTTTGGACCAATTTATTGTGCTTGCACTCTATAGCTATAGGGTATCTTTCTCTAAGTTTTTCTCTAGGTTTTTTTTTTTTGCATTTGCCTGCACCTTCCTCCGTTTACATTTAAGTCTGTAGTGTATAATGATTTTTTGATATGCATATATAGTTATGCTGATTCTGTATATTTTTCTTAACGTAGAGGGTATCTCAAAGTCGTTCCCTTTAGGCGGCGCACTTGTTTACCAGCAACTCTTCAAAAAGTTGCTGCTGTCGTTGGCATTGATAATGAGCATATTGTTATCGCGCATCATTACAAGCCATTACAAAGTCAAGCAGAACAGCGCGACACACACACACACACACACACACACACGCACACACACACTCACACACTCTCATTTGCACTCGCACTTTCTTCTTTGTTAATATTGCGCAAAAATATTTGCATAAACAAATCGCCTGTCAGTCAGAGCGCCCCGCAGTTCTTCAATTCTCTCTGCGATTCTACAGCTTGGCCACAAACTAGTTTCAATGGGAATTGAAATAAACAGCCCGCAAGGGGGTGCATGAAAGCGGCGGGCGGGCGGTCAGTGTACCTGCGGCAACAGCATTTAGAATGGGTTATATCTGGACTGTTAACCTACCCAGCTGGACGGGTGTGACTGGGCCCAGTAAAAACATTGTCAATATAAATTTAGATTAAATATCAGCAAAGCGCAAAGCTTTTGACAGGTTTTGTTCTCAGTTGTCAACACACACACACACACACACACACACACACACACACACACACACGCACACACTCGTAAATCGTATTCACAATCACAGATTCACAATCGAGGCTCAGATTTGTTGATGCGTGTCAAGCGAAGCATCGAATGATTCTGCAGCGCGGCAATTCGCTTTGCACCCCGCCCACTCCCACCACGATATTCAATTGTGCAGGCATTAGTATGATAAATGATATCAGGGCTTAGCTCGGACAGCTATCGGGTTCACTCCGTTTACTCTGCTCCTCTTCCTGCTGCCTCGATTGTCCGCTTCATGAAGCGTTTATTGTTTGTTTCGTTCTTTGCGTTCGTTTTGTTGGGCGTTTAGCAAAAATTTATGTTCATACGCATTTTTTGCTGCTCCCCCAGTCCCAGCGCAGGCCGAGGCACAGTTCTAGTTCCGCCGGTCACGGCTTTGGCTTCGCTTAACGTGATAGCATGCACTGAAAGCGAGGGTCTAGCGAGGGCTGCTCAAAAACTAGCACTTATGCAAAAACTGTGACAATCGCTTTCCGCTCATACTCCACCCGTATTGGTGAATTTTTAAAAATAATGAATACACAGCTGATTCGATGAATACGAATTTTAAAGTATCAAGATTAATTTAATTTAATATATGTAATTTGGAAGTTATGAACAGCAATGGAA